TTTCTTCTTCGTTCGTCGTTAAAATTTTTTTGCATGTACCCCTCTTTCAAGCTGTATTAAGTGTCAATAATTTTTTTAGTTTTCACTTGCATATTTCTGAAGCAATGTTGTCGTCTATTGAGACATCTGCAAATCCGGTTTATTGTCCAGCGTCATCTTATGAGACAAGTTCACTCAATAAACTTGGTTTTCGATTCGATATACCGCCGTTGTACAGCAGTTCGTTAATTTTACCGCCACCGTCCTACGCAATCGCAACGTCGCCAGCTAACGGATTTGTGAATTCGCCACCGTATGTTATTGTTTGTCGTGAAAAGACGTCTGATATGGACGTCGAAAATAATGCCTTAGTAGCCAATAATGGCTATGAGACGCGCATTAGCGACGACGATGATGAAAATGCCAAAGATTTGGTAATTACCTGTATTCTGATAGTTTATGTCTCATATTTTGAGGATTGTTGTTTAAAAATTGAAGGTTCTACTGGGTATGTGAAATGGCGTGGCAGAATTTACTGTCAATTAATGCCCGTTTTTTTATAGCCTTTGGATTTATCAATGCGAAAAAAGGATTCTGTTGGTTCTTCAGCTTCATCATCGACCACACTCAGCGCACAGTCTCGGCCATCAGTGATTAAGAATAGCTACGGTATGTGGTTTTTTCCTTTCTTTTTTTTCTTTTTTTTTTTGGAGGGAGGGGGGATAAAGGAATATCTTTTAGAAAAATTCTTTTTCACAATATCTGCTAAGTTACATGCTTGTCTTTTATAATATGCGATGTTATATCTCTATTTCTCACAAAAACTGCTATAGTAATGGAGAAACTGTTTGTTGAAAAAGGAATGAGGAAAAAAGGAGTGTTTAAAAAACGGTTGACATTATTTGAAACGGAAACGTTAAATTATCTCATTTTATTGGCTGGTCTTTTTTTTCTGTTTTTTTTTCTTTTTTTTTGCGCTTTCTGCTTAAGATGTATATTAAAAACTTGTTTTTCGTCTTAATTTTTGTAATTTATATTTATTTCATTTCAAATTAAATTATTTTTCTGTTGTTGTTATTTATCATTATCTTCGTTTTCTTCCTCTTCTAATTTCTATTTAGTGCAAAGAAGTTTGTCAGATTATCAGTGCTATTTTCTTGTCATCGTTTTTTTCTATGGAATACTGGTCTGTGATGTTAAAAAAATAGTTCAAGAAAGCGAACAATAAGCACTAATAAAAGTGCACAGATTTTGCAAGCAGACAGATACAGATTTATTGCTGCCTGGTATTATCGGTTTAGCTACACGAATGATTTAAACAACGGTCAAATTAAGGGTAGCAAGAATTATTGAGCTTTCAACCGATTTTTCAGCTTCCTTTGTGCAAGTTATTTTCTTCTTTGCATCAATCTTTTTTCTGCCTATTTTTTATCTTGTAACAAAAAAGTTTGTGTTTTAAAGGTATCGTAATTTTTCGTTATGTTAGAAAAAATATTTTTTTTATTACTTTTTCTTTTTATTTCTCTTGGGCAATATTGAAGTATTTATAGATGCACATAGGTGTATCTGTTTTTATTTGTGTGAATGCGCATTCACATTATTTGAAGTCACGCGACCTTTATTCTGCAGGAAAAGAATAAGAAAAAACAAACAATTTGCTTTTTTTTTTAATATTAAGTTATTCTCTAAATCAGCTGATTCACAAATTTTAACTTCTGGATCTCTATAATTTTAAAACTGTTTCAAAAAAGATTGCAAATGATACCAATGCTGGAAAATGATGGAACGTTCACTGTTTGCTCTTTTTTATCATTCCAATTTTTTAATTTTTACTATTTGAGTCTTTTGAGTGATTTTGAATTTGAAATGAAACAAAAACTTATTTTTTAAACAGTTTTTTTTATTTGTGTAAAAAAAGAAGTAATGCTGCAGCTGGATGAGAACTTATTGGGTTACTGGCGAGAGAGGGGGAGGGAGAGCGGAAGGAGAAGAGCCTTGTGTAGAAAAACGGACTGGACTGTAATACTTTGCGAAGTTTACGACTTGTGCTGAATTGCTGAAATGTGTGTATCCTCCAAATAAGCCGTTTTTCTCTGATTGTCAAACATGAGGAGCAATTGTTAATGCTAATTTTTACAGCATAACATCAGAAACTCGATTTTCAAATTGAATAGTCATCTCGTACCTACGTGTAATAGGCAGTAGAAAAAAATGACTAATAAATACTTTATATGCTTAATGAGTACAACTAATGACTTGTGTTTAGCACTGGAGAGCTCTTCCCCACCTCGTCAGAATTGACCCTCATTTCAAATCGATTGTTACTTGTGGTAGAAAATGGGTTTTATACGATTACTGAAAAAGGGAATAAGTGGTGAGTAGATGGCAACACTCGTTAGTGAAATTGCAGCACCGCATCCTTGTTAACCTGAGATAGTAATCGTGTTTTGTTGCAAAATGATGCCTACAAAATGTCTAAATGCTCGTGACAGTTTTGTCGGTGAAGAGTGCCTTCAGGATAAGCACATGCCCGAGGTTTTGAAGGAAAAAAGCGTATTGTTAATGCATGATAACATGTTTTGATTATCAGTAGAAAGAAACGAGCGGTTCGAAAATAAGGTTTTGCTGTGCTCACCTTACTCTTCATAACTTCGTTTTATTGAATATATCTTTTTCATAAAATTCTGGTTTATTCACTTGTGTAAACGACTCAGAACATGTGAGATTTGCTTATAACAGTTTGTTGAGCACGAAATCAGGAAATTCTTCTGTCACAGTGGCAACTACGATAGTTACTTTCTGTTTTTGGTTTCTGCGGATAATTTCGCGTGAGAGTAAAGTTCTGACCATTAAAGTGTAAAACAGAGTAGCCAAGTGGTCACTAATTAACCTCTAAGTAATGAAAAAAGAAGGGGAGTTTCATTATTTTATTGCCCGCAGTAGTAAAAATAATAAAAATAAAAATTTTCTTCTTTTTATATTACATATTGTTATCTCCTTATGGAAGGGCAGTTAATCTTTTTTGGGGAAATAACATTCAAAGAACTAAATTCAAATTTTCTCCAAATTAGCTAGAAGACGGTTAAAAGGCGAGTTCTGTTGATACTTGTTAAAAGGGCATTTCCAGACTTTTGTTGTAATAAAAACTTTTAAAATTTAGTTTAACTTGAGGAACAAAATTTTCTTTGATGTTTTTTTGCTAATTTTACGGCAATGTTAGAGGCAGTATATGAGGAAAAATAAATTTTTTTGTGGATGGTTTGTTGATGTTGTCGTTGCTGCTGCTGCCGTTGGTGTTGTACTCATAGAACATAAAGCGCTGGCATCTTTCATCGTTTTCTTGATGTTTCTGGTTTTGGATTCGTAAACTCTTCATTAAGTTTCTCAGTTTTACCTCTTGTTTGATCTTCTTTACCTTATCTACGTGTCATGCATCTCTCGGTTAATTTACAAATCGGTTTCACTAAAAATCAGCACAAAAAAATTTTTTAACGTTTTTTTACCGGCTAAATTTCGCTAATCTTTCTAACAGTTGTTAGTATTCCACATCAAGAAAGTTTGTGTGTAGAAGACTACTGTATTAGAAGTTCAGTCCAAACTTTTTTTATTGACTAAATCAAATAAGTTAGGTATTTAGGCGAGCGCCATGGCGATATGCGTCGTTCAGCATCGTCCGTATCTTCGAGACCAAAACCGGAGCCTGATGTTTCTGAACATTTTCGACGTTCATTGAGCGGTAAATGGCCACGCCGAACTAATCATGCTCATTATACTCCGCCACAAAACGACAGAGACAGGAAAGGTAGTAATTATTTATAAGCCAGTTTGGTACGATATGATGGAATTGATTTTTTTGGCTATGGCAACTAAACGTATAGTACTTTATGTTGTCAGGTATTCTAACAAATCTGTTGATTTTTTAGATATAACAATAAAAAGGCATAATAGTTCACCGGGATATGAAAACTCTAGACAATCACCACCGTCATGTGTTAGTCCTGGACAGAAAAACATCATTGTCAAAGACTATGGGATTGACAGTAAGCATTATTTTATACGCATTTGGTTTTTGGTCGTTTCGATTACCAATGTTTCTTCTCTGCATGATGATGTGTCTACATTGTTATCGGTTGCTTTTCTTGCAGTTGAAGAACATTTTCGACGGGCATTGGGAGCTGACAAGTACGAAATGTTAAGGAAAAACCGTAACCTAAGTTGAGCAGTGTTCTGCTCTGTCTTTTCTGAATGTTTCTTTCGGTAGCGAGAGATGCTTCTGACCTGTTTCAAGCCAAATCGCTATTGTGGACAGCTACTCTGCTCCTATTTTCATAAAGACGTTGTTGTTTAGAACCAGTGTCAATTTAGATGTTCTGTTTCTGTTGAATAGGTGTTTGAATTTTTAAGTCAGATCAGCTGAATTTGTTTTGTGGCTTGAAATGTTTTTGGAAGCTAACGTTCAAGCTCTTGCTTGAAAATCACTGTAAATATTTGTTCGTTGACCAAACTTGTTGCAATTTAATTAACGACTACGATGAATTAAATAGTTCGTACTTGTATTTATGTCAGAATCTCTTTTATAAGAAAAAGAAGAAACAAGAGGAAACAAAAAAGGAAATTATGAACAGCAATTTTGAATTGACTTTTTTGATCATTCTATTAGCTTTTCAATTTTTTTCTTTTGATTCTCATATATCGTTTAATTTCTTTTTTATTTTAAAATAATTTACGTATGACATGTGTAAAAAATCTTTTTTTTACTGCATAGCTAATAGTTAATGAAATTAATATATCTTGGTTTTCTTTCTTTTTATTGCTACTTCAACTTGTAACCGAAATTGGCAGCTGTTTTTAACCTTCCTTAGTAATGCGAATTACGGGCATAGTGCTATTAATGATTTATAGCTTTTTCTACATATCTTATAAAGTTCTATCAGTTTTTATATTACATTATGGTTATGTGCGCAATAAAGTAAACGAATTGAAGTGTGTTGGTAATTTGGTGTTACAACAACAGGAAAATGTCGCCTAACCTTGACCGAAGCATATTCCACATTATCCTTTATCGGTATCCTTGAGTTTTACCCAGGTCTGATGAATATGTGTGACAGGTATGTTTTCAATCGTTCTGGAACGTACTTGTAGTATACCAAGGCTATTTGAAAGTCCTCAATGCGCGTCAACTTCCAAGCATTGTTGAGCAGTGCCATTCAGTAAGTTTCTCAGCAGTTATCTTATAATAAACAAAGAACCTGAATAAAACTTTGAGGGCAGACTGTCATACGGATTTAGAACAACAGAAAAGGCATGGACGAAATTAAAATTATTTTTTGCTTTCCACTTTAAAACCAAAAACGACTTTTTGTATAAGATGAGTTTCTTTACAGTCTATACATGTGCTGAATGTAATAGCTATCATCATACCGGATAAATTTCAAGGTATTGATTCTTACTTCAGAAATTTTTGGTGCACTCAAATCAGAAATGCTTAGCTTTAGTTATATTTCTTATTCTATTAACACTCTGATTGTAAAGTGGGAAAAAACTTACAGCAGGCATTGTAATTACATTGACAAGTCCTTCTCTGAAAATGTTTTTTGTCACAGTACATGAAATACTTTTTGCTAGTGTTGTAAATTAATTTCACGATACATTTTCAATAAATATTTACAAACATATAACTTTGTTGTTTCTGATGAATGAGAAAAATGGCTAGAAGATTGATGATTTATTTTTGTTGATCATGAGAAGTAAATGACTTCCGGTGAAGGAAATTACATCGAAAGAAAGTGGTGAACAAAAACTTACACGCAAGCTGGTGTGCAACTTTAATGACTCTACAGTTTTACTCTTTCGGTTACTGTTACAGTATCATCAACTGCAAGAAGATACTAATGACCACTTTAAGGTTTCACTAAGTGTCAATGATGATGGTGGGATAGCAACTAAAGCTCTCAGTTGAAAGAAAAGGAAAATTGAGCAAAATGACATTTTCAGCAATTTGATAATGAAAAGAATGATGCTGGTATAACGTTGGAACTTCATCAAGTATAATTAATAACTTTTCATTATTAATTTTAAGGTCAACTTTCAGCTTTATAATAAACATTTATAGAGGCAGATAAAAATGTTTTTCAAACGGCTTGAAGAATGCTATTCACAGTTTGCTTCTTTTTTATCAGAGAAAAATTTAAGCGCGTAACTGTTAGAAGAACTAGAAGAAGTTTTTTGTTGACATCTGTCACTTAAAAATGGCAAAAAATTTTTTAAAGGTTTCTTCACAAGTGATCTGCATAGTGAAAAAATGAGCAATGGACTGAGAGAAAAGGGTAAACGTTTTTAATGAAATTTTTCTGTCAACTAATTGTTACTCTGTTCTGCTTTTAATTTCCTATAATGAAAAGTCAGTTTTTCTTTTTTCTAATCTAGCCAGTCTATTTCAAGAAAATGTTATTTATAAGCATCAGTTATTTGGATAATTACACTGCTATTTCAGCATGTAGATCGTTTATAAATATAAAATGCAAATTTTGTTATTTGTTTATTCCTTAGATCCATAAATATTTTTTTACTTTAGTTTCTTGGATAAAGATTTACTATATCAGATTTCTGCATTGATACTTCAGTAGCTTATTTTTTTAACAAGGAATGCTCAGTAAACACTGCATAATTAGTCTTCAATATCAAAAATAGCAGATGAGGAAAACAGCTGCTGAGATAAAAGCTGTTGCTTGTTAGAGCGTTATCATTGTCGTTTACTAGCTATCAGGAAATATGTGTATCGTCTGTAAGTAATATTAACTAAAACGTGCAGAATATAAATAGTTTATTTGTTTTTTTGCCTCTTCTTCAGGTTTACTTTAATTCTTCAAGATTTTTGCACTTTTCAATATGTTCAGCTGGGAAAGCAAATATTTGACCGGTAACGGCCATATTCTGCCTATTATTTCTCATCTGCGGACACCTTTTCTTTTCGTGCAATTTATGTCGTAAAATTGCTGAGTACAATATTGACAATTTTCCAACTTTTCATTCGCAATGTCATCATTCAAACTGTTTTTGCCAACTTTTTTATTGTTGGACACTAATTTCGTTTTGGTGTTTGACTGATATTTATTAGATATATGCTGGATATTATTTCAAGAACAACTCCTACAAAAAAAAAAAACTCAGAGTTCGAATTCTCTAAGTGAATTAGTGTAGATATTAGGTCATGTTTCACCGGATTATGCACAAATAAAATTGATTCTTACACAAGTAGAGTAAAAAAGATTAAATTTTTTGAAAACAACAACAAACAAACAAACATTTATAGCCTCAATAGTCGTTCGTTTTATAGACTTAATATTCACAACATTTCAGTTCTGTACAGCTGACGCTTTCTTCGCTGCAGGTAATTGCTGCAGATTCAGGTGATTAAACATGTTGCTATCGACCGCAAGATCTTTGGTCACCAGGTGCTTAGCCATACAGCGAACGTTGCCAACTAGAGGTTTATTAGACAACTCATCTTGATATTTGTAAAAACATGTATTTTCTAAATTAACTACCAAAGAATAAATGTTCAGGATCATATATTTTGTAAAGATTTGCTCTTAAGACCTGTAATGAGCAAGCTGTGAAAATTTGCTGTTAGTTTTCGCATTTGATTTTTCTTCAGTTTCTATTTTTAGTGAAAAGGACTTGGATTGTAGTGTTAGATTGTCTAGTTGTAGATTCAAGCCGCAAAACAGCCTATTTTGATTATTTTCAAAACTTTATAGGTAGTAAATCTGACAGATTCATAAATAACTATGGAAATTTCAAATCAAAACTATTTTAGTATTTAAAATATTCTGCATATATTTTTTTGTAACCTAATACTCGAAAGATTCCCTCAAATGTCAAAGTAAATTTTACGCCACTTTTACTGACTCGTTGATAAGTTTTTTGACTATCTTCTTCTCCTCATTCTCTGCAGATCAGTTGAACTTTTTCTTTTCTTCTTAATTGTTTTAATTTTTTCCTCGTTTTTATGCTTCTAGTTTCTTTCACTTCGTTTGATAGAGGTAAGAACCGAAAAAGTTTGGAAAAAAGGCGTTAAAAAATTTAGATGAAATACTCAAAAATTATCATCTCTTGCAATAGAACATGTGAACCACAACTGAACTTAAAAGATGGTTAGAAATTTAAGCTTTTTCTATATACTTTAAAATGTGTTGAAAACTTTATTTCTTTTATTTTCGTCATTCTCTTTGACACAGACAAGGCAGTAATGGGGATAGGATAAGGATCAGGTAATCACTGGAATATTGAAAAATGCAGCTAAAGACCACTTTTCAATGCACTTTTTTTTCAGTTACATCAGCAAAAAATAAAGAACCTGTTAAATACGAATATTTGTTGGATAGTGTGATACCAAAAAATTTCAGTAATATTACGTGACTATACTGCTACGGATCAATTACTCTGGAAAACCCGTGATGGTGAAGAATTTTTAGTTCAAAGAGCCACACAGGCTGATGAAAACGAGATCGTGAGCTACTTAGTAGACAACTTTCTGAAGGCTGAGCCAGTCTCCAGAGTAAGTTTTCTGCATTATTCTTCATTATGGCAGTTTCTTGATAATGTAGTAACTCAGGTAAATAACTTACCTTTAAACCGCACGCTCTTTATTTTACATTCTTTCATTTCTCTTAAAACTGACCAATAGCCTACTGTGTTAACTACGCATTTACTCTGAAAACTGAAAAAGCTATTCAGCACTTAAATTAAGTATATTTTAATTTTTTGTGGCGGTACTTTGAATGACTTTCATAATGAATAACTTAGAAGGTAAGGGTAAGTACGACAAGAAAAATACATATCAAGCTACAGTACTTAGTTTTACCACTTATGCAGCAATGTAATTTTCAAAACTACAGCAAAAATGTTTTTAGGTAATGAAAACTTAAAAATGATCTAGCACTAGAGCCAACTACGCATCATTTTCGCTCAAACAGAAGTTATCTTGATCTTCGGAAGAAATTTTTGAAAATAAAGCAATGTCAAAAATCATTTGGGTGTATGCTTAAAGGAACCGCCTTGTAGAAGTTATGAAGTAGCAGGTTTATGCTTTGGATTCGCAGCTCACCGAAAGTTTGTTATAAAAGAAAAGGCAGCAATGTAATTAAGCATTACAGCTTTATTGACGTAGCAAGTACTTTTCAAAATACCAAAACAATCTAGGTATTTTTTAAAGGTAATAGTAAATAGGATGCAATTGTTTTAAAGGCGATTGGAATGACGAAGACAGATGGTGAATGCTTAATTCGCAGTATTTCGAAAAAGAGCTTGCAATATCCTTTGTCTTGCATAGTTCGTGAAGCAGATACTGGTGAACTGATTGCAGCGCGTCTGTTCAGCATTGGTGACCGAAATTCATCCGAAGACTCCGGTAAATTTTTTAAACTGCTTAAGATTAAAGTTAAATATATAGAAGAATAAAGTGCTTGCAATCGTTTTGCAAAAAAACTGAAATTTTTAATAAAATAATTTTTTTTCTTAGCATTTCAGACTGCTGAATCACTAGAGATTATTATTAAAGATCTTTCAGAGAGTTTCTTGACGCATAATTGAACAAATTAAAAAAACTTTATTGAAAAGCTCCAACATACTATCGTAATTTAGATCTTTGAATGTTTATATGCATTTCCAAGAGTAGCGTTTGTCAGACAACGAATAACTGATTAGCCACTTAGACAGATTACTATGAAATAAAATCCTGTTCTTCAAGACGTTTACGTTTCTTTGGTTACACAAAAATGAATCAAAATATATTTGTAAGATTGCAGTTTACTTGTCAAAAGCTTTGCATTTAAAATAAAGATTTGTTTCGAAAAGTAAACTTTGAATGCAGGAAGTAAAGTGATAAAAAAGGCTATCAAATTTAATTGTTGAAAGTGGGTTTTTTTTGCCGGAAAATTTGTCCAATAAAACAACAAAATATTTTGGAATAAAAAATAATCTTAGGTTTATAATTGGCTTTACCTATTGCAATACTTTATTCAACAGTGTTTATTCTTAATTAGTGTTATTTTGCCAGATATAAACAGGGTTCTGTTAGAGAATACCAAGATTTTTGAAGTTATGTCAAAAATGTCAAACGCATTACATGACAGTTTGTCTTAAAGATTTTAGTGTATTTATTGTCTACAATAAACTGCCTTACAAACTACTCTTGTAGAAGTTGCTGAATGGACTCCAAAAGCCAAAATAATTTTGGATTTTCTCTCGGAAATGCAAGCTGAATTCTGGAAAACTGTTGATGCAACAATCAATCGGATTATATGGCGTGAAGTGACCAGCGTGGCTGATAAGCATATGAGAAAAGGAATAGCCAAATTTCTTGCTGCATATCTGTTAACTGCAGAGAATATAAACAATTTAAAAATACAAGGTATTTTAACGGTTCTTTGTCGAAATTAAGAACACGAGACTGTCTTTTTGGTAAAGCAGCTAAGCCAAAACTAAAGAAATACTAGAACATCTCATTTAAATAAGCAAACCTTTAAAATTGTTGATTATTTTATTTTCAGCAATTGTTAAAAGTCAACCTTTGATAAAATAAATATTGAAGTATTAAAATGATCTTCTGTTTTAAAGGAATTGCAAGTGAAGCAACGTCGTTAGCAAATCAAAGGCTTCTAAGTGCCGCTGGATATCAGAAGTTGTTAGAGCGAAAACATAGCGATTATTTAGACAAAAATGGAAAAAGAATATTTTTTTGCGATGATGGAACAGACAGAATAATTGTTTTCTTTAAAAAACTCTAATGGCGTTTGAACTTTCAATCTAGTAATAACTTTTGATAATTAATTTTGATACAGAGGTCATAATTTGATAATGTTTTCATTGTATAAAATTTGCGTTTAATCAGTAAAACAAGAACATTTTTGGTTTGCTGATTGTTAATAGAATTGAGCGTTTTCCTTTATTGTTAGCATTACTAGAATATATTCTGTTCTGGCAGTCGTTATTTGTGGCACATAAACTGGGTTTGCTTCATTTAAGACAAGATTTGCCAAAAGGTTATCTTTATTCAGTTTTTTCTGCAAAACCGACACCGGATTGTAAAAGCCGCAGATTGGTAATCAAGTTGTCTAAGCTTCTGTGTATCTATGTAAAAGTATTGTTCTTTTTTGAATCTGGTTGATGGAACAACTTTTTGCCATTCTAAAAACTGTTTATGAATCCAGTGGAGATGTTTCAAAAACGCAACTGAAAAGGCAGGTATAAAAACAAAATAGCCTTAGTTGACCTATAAGTGGAAAAGTTTCAATAAAATTTGCAAGTGAAATTTTAACTCAACAAATTTCTCAGTGTTACAATTACAGATGAGCTGTCAGGTATTAGTTATATTAATATTTGCTATATTCGTTATTTCATCCAAATGAAATAAATGATAAGAACCCAATAAACATTTATTTCATAAGGATAAACTATATGAGGTAAATAACTTATATTGAAAAATAATTCTTTCAAAGTTATCTTTTAACGTTGTTGAAAACATTTCAGCCACAATAAAATGCGAAAGTTATTAATAGTCCTCAATCAAAAAGCAAAAAAAGTGGACATTTTTACGATCAAAGAGCTGATTCGTTGGCTTGCAGTATACTATATGAGCAAATAAAATTGCAGCAGTATATCAATGACCAAACAATACAAAAAGTTCTTACTAAAGGAGAAAAAACTAAAACTTGAGTCGAAAATTTATATTCTAGGAAAATTTTAATAGCAGTCTTATCGTTTAGCTTAGATAGCAACCACGTGTCAATCATCCCAACCAGCAGCAATCTTCTTCTTCCATTGCTATTACGCCGTTTATTGCGCAACTTCTCTAAATGTAAATTTAAGCATGAATTTTTAATATTGTCAATACTCAAAAAATTAACTACTTTATTAGAAAACTGTAATTAGATGAAAATAACGAAAAGGTCCTGAAATATTATAATCATTTGGCAAAATTATAAATTTAGTTCAGAAAATGAAAATCTTATCGTAGGAAATTGTAAAAAATTATTGAAAAATAACACAAGACTTGTTTCAGCTGTAATATCGAAACAAAACTTATATTGACACGCTTGTAATCAGTATATGTGTTATTTTTCACCAATTTTTACAATTTCCTATGATAAAATTTTCATTTTCTGAAGTAAATTTGTAATCCAGATGACTATAATATTTCAGGGCTTTTTCGTTATTTTCATCTAATTACAGTTTTCTATTGACGCAGTTATTTTTTTGAGTGTTGACAATATTAAAAATTTATGCTTAAATTTACATTTAGTGAAGTTGTGCAATAAACAGTTTAACCTGTCCCGTACAAAAAAAAATGATGAAGTAAAAATTGGTTCTAACACTTTACAAGCTATCCTTGCTATCGTTACTGGCTTTCTTTTTAATCTATACACTTTCTAACAAAGCTCATATCCACTGCTCAAAAGTGACTGTCCAAATTTTTCCTTTGACAAGACCTAAAATATTTGAAAATTTTTTTCGTGCTATTAATTCCGTGAATTATATACAAAAACTTTGTTAATTTAAACTCAGATACAGCAGTTTTTTTAAAGATCAAAATTGAATTTTTACCACTCAGCTTCTAACCAAACTTTGATTTTGTTTTTTTTTTTTTTTTTTTTTTTTTTTCCC